AAAAGCATTCAGCCAATTATTTGATGCACTAGTAACTGTTTACAATAGCAACCAGAAGCAATGGAAATGGATCAGGATAAGTTAGCATGATAGGAGTGCAAATCACAGGTGAGAAGAGATGAATGGACTGACTTGTTTGTGGCAAAAGTAGATCTGAGAGATGCATTTGAACAAGGCAGTCCTAGGTGACTGACAAATAGACAATATAATTCTTTCTAAAGTATAGATAGGCTACCAAACTGTGAGAGCCAGTGGGCGGTTGGTTCCTCTGCTGTTTATGTATATTTTCTCTTACATTCAAGATGGCCACATGTGAATAGCAATATACTTTTGTACTGTTTTTTTTACCAGCAGATTAAATAAACTAGGATCACCTAATCCTAGTCAATATCTCTTGTGGGAGGTGCCAGAAATAAAGGCAAGAGGACATGAGTACACTTGGCTATCTTCAGCTTAGGATGTATATACTTTTAGGGTTTCTCCCACAGTGTAGACCTGGCTGTAATCGTTGAAGCTGGGGAAAATTGGTGTTACTTTGCAAGCCCCAACCCTTAGATAGCAGTTACACCTAAAACCAGTTCTGAAGCACTAGCCACTATAGTGGCTATTGCTATAGAAAACTAGCCACAGTATTCTGAAAATGTAAGTCATTTTGTGAGACAACTAGCCACACTCAACTGGCCAAATAGCCACATGTGGCTAGCATGTTGGATACCATGCACCTAGAAGAAGGTGGAGTATGAACAAAGACATTTTGCTCATATTCTTTATTTTGATATTAAGTTCAATTTATTTTATGCTTTCTTCTAATTTTAAAGACAGAGTCCTCGGCCCCTCATAAGAAGCGGTGCAAAAGGGCCCTAAACCAGCCTTAAGAGGGAGGAATCTGGCATCCTGAGTCTCTCATTTGTCAACTCTCAGTTCCATGCAGAATATGTTTTTGGGCTGGCTGTGAGGGAATAGGAGCATGTTGAGAGTTGGAGGGGGAAGATCCAGGACCAGACTGCAGTGCACTTCACTGATCCCTTACCAGCTGAATAATACTAAAAGGATTGTCATAGCTAGTGCAAGTTATAATAGCCCATAGCTGCTCTAACTTGCACTTGGTCCAGGACCAACCCCAGAGGCAAAACATAACCTAGAGCTATTTTGTATGGCTTCTTCTATTTTTCATGTGCTATAGCTGTTTGTATTGCATTGGAAAAGTTTCAGAAAAGGGCAACAAAAATGATTAGGGGTTTGGAACTGGTCCCATATGAAGAAGGGGGGAGAGAAGAAGACTGGGACTGTTCAGCTTAGAAAAGAGGAGACTAAGGGGGGATAGGATAGAGGTCTATATAATCATGACTAGTGTTGGAAAAAGTGAATAAGGAAAAGTTATTTATTTATTCCCACAATATAAGAACTAGGGGTCATCAAATGAAATTAATAGGCAGCAGGTTTAAAAGAAACAAAAGGAAGTTTTTCTTCACTCAGTGCACAGTCAACCTGTGGAACTCCTTGCCAGAGGATATTGTGAAGACTAGGACTTTAACAGAGTACAAAAAAGAGCTTGATAGATTCATGGAGGGTAGGTCCACCAATGGCTATTAGCTAGGATGAGTAGGAATGGTGTCCCTAGCCTCTGTTTGTCTGGAAATGGATGACAGGAGAGGGATCATGTGAGGATTACCTGTTGTGCTCCCTCCCTCTGGGGCATCTGGTATAGGCCACTGTCGGCAGACAGGATACTAGGCTAGATGGACCTTTGATCTGACCAGTATGGCCATTTTTATGTTCACTGTATATGTTGTTAGGAGGAACCTGAAGGTTTTAGAAACAGTGTGGAGAGCAGTTGAGATTTACAGCTCCCAGCGAGCTGTAGGAGGCAAAAGTTTTATTTTTTTTTTCTGTCATGTCAGACTTTTAACACTGGGCTGGAATACTTCTCTTCCATCCTTCCACCTTGTGGCTTGAGGTCTTGTCATAACCAGCACTGCAAGCCTTTACAGCAAAAAGCTGTCTGCACTTGTCCCAGGTTCATCTATTAGCTCTAACTTCTGCCACAAGGACAGTACTTAAATTAAGTGTTTATATTTAATTCCAGTTGGTTTCATTCATTGAGATGAATGGGGATTGGTTAAGTTACAGGCATTTCCCAAGTATGCAGACAATTCTGCCTTGGTTCATGCTCAGTTTACATCGTAGGTTTTCTTTGCAATGATAAGAACTAGACGTGTGTGCACATGCGTGTGTGCGCGCGCACATGCATGTTTGAGAGAGAGGTTGCCTGGCCCTTGTCCACATTACAGACTCATATCAGTATAACTGTGTTGCTCAGGGGTGACTTTGAACACACCAGTGAGTGACATAGCTATACCAACCTAACTCTTGGTGCAGATAGCGCTTTGTCAACGGGAGAACTTCTGTCGATATAGCTATGCCAATGGGAGGAGCTCTCTCATCAGTGTAAACAGCATCTTCACTAAGTGTAGACGCGTCCTTGTATGCTGCCACATGTTCCTGTCGCAGATAGGAGATTCGGCATCCAATTCCATGGGTCTGGAAACAGACTACACAAGGCGTTAGGTATAATGGTCGGAAGGTGAAAAGATGCTTAATGGGTTTCTCATGAATCCTGGCAGTTCCATTAAAGATTTGTTATGCTGCAATTAGACTTACAGAAGGTGACTTAAAATCTAACAAAGAAAAGGAAAAAGCATGAATGGCACTTTTCCAGGCACTTTCCTTTAAGACGTCCTACAGATGAGTTCTAAACCTCTGGGACTGGCAGGAAACTGATGCGCTGCATACTTCTGATGACCTAACATCTATGGCATAGGACTAATTAAATCTGCATCTTGACCCTGAAGTGCCAGAACCCATATGTGACTCTCCAGAATCCAGTGTATTTATACTTGATTCCCAAAGAACCTCACAATCTGTCAGCTGCTGCTGCAGTAAAAATAATCAAGGACAATTTTTAGGCAACTAAAAATGCAAGCGGTTAAAGCTGGCAGCTCATAAGGAGAGGCACACAGGCTGCCGTTCACCGGTTCCTTTTTGTCCTGTGGGGGTGCTCCATGACCTTCCATTTCTCTGCAGTATAAGGGCAGCTGAAGAGGGAGAGGCAGCAGCATTAGGTAATGTAACTGTTTCATGCCTCTTCCCTGAAATTAAATGTGATATGCCAGGAAGGGTATTGGCAAAGGAGTGGCCACTGTTAGGTCTTTATTTAACTTCTGTGCCAAGAAAGATCATGGAGCAGGTAATTAAGGAATTCATCTGCTAATATCTGGATATTAAGGTGATAGATAACAGCCAGCATGGATAGAGAACAAATCATGCCAAATCAATCTGATAGCTTTCTTTGATAGGATAACAAGTCTTGTGGATAAGGGAGAAGCGGTGGACGTGAATACCTAGACTTTAGTAAGTCATTTGATACAATTTTGCATGATCTTCTTATCAATAAACTAGGCAAATATAACCTAGATAGGGCTACTATAAGGTGGGTGCATAACTGGCTGCAGTAGTTCTTAGAGAGTAGTTATTAACGTTATCATGCTGTGGCATAACAAGTGGGGTTCCACTGGGGTCTGTTTTGGGACCAGTTCTGTTCAATATCTTCATCAATGATTAGATATTGGCATAGAAAGTGCGCTTATTAAGTTTGCAGATGATACCAAGCTGGGAGGGGTTGCAACTGCTTTTGAAGATAGGGTCATAATTCAAAATGATCTGGACAAATGGAGAAATGGTCTGAGGTCAATAGGATGAAGTTTAATAAGGACTAATGCAAACTAAACTCCATTTAGGAAGGAGCAATCTACTCTGCACTGACTAGGCCTCAGTTGGAGGATTGTGTCCAGTTCTGGGCACCACATTTCAAGAAAGATGTGGAGAAACTGGAGAAGGTCCAGAGAAGAGCAACAAGAATGATTAAAGGTCTAGAGAACATGAACTATGAGGGAAGACTGAAAGTATTGGGCTTGTTTAGTTGGGAAAGGAGAAGACTGAGGGGGAGATGATAGCAGTTTTCAAGTATCTAAAAGGGTGTCACAAGGAGGAGGGAGACAAATTGTTCTCTGAGGATAGGACAAGAAGCAATGGGCTTAAACTGCAGCCAGAGAGATTTAGGTTGGACATGAGGAAAAACTTCCTACCTGTTAGGGTGATTAAACACTGGAATAAGTTGCCTAGGGAGGCTGTGGAAGCTCCATCACTGAAGATATTTAAGAGCAGGTTAGATAGACATCTATCAGAGATGGTAGACGATGCTTGGTCCTTGGGATTGGACTTGATGACCTCTCGAGATCCCTTCCAATTCTAGTATTCTGTGAAATTAAAATGTTTAGTAACAGAAGGTAGTTTTAATCAGAGGCAACTTTCTAAATATATGCACAATTTCTTGAGATCTCTCCTGAATTTATAACTTTGCGGGATGAGATGAAGTACTTGATCTAGACACTGACTGGGTTCCTTACAGGAACCTCTAAACACCATATTTTTAATGCTGTAGGCAACAGCATAAGCACCAGGCAAAATGACTGAAAAGTGTGTGTGTGTATATTAGAGTTATAAGTGCTTTGATTAGAACCTGAAGCTAATACCTTTAGTCAGTTAGTTTCAGGTTCTAATCACAGCACTTATAAACCAGAATGTAGAAGATGTTTATTGCAATGGATTTAATTAATTAAAAAGGGTTAAGCAGTATTTCTAATTTTTAAAGGGAAGGGAAATGGGTAAATTTACCAACTACAGCGATTTTGTTTCATGAAGATTCTTGGCAACACTTCTTTATGTAACCAAATATTAATATATAAGTTTTTGAGATATTGTTTCAAACAGAGTCAGATTTTTAAAAATGTTTACCTTGTACTTTATTTGTGTGCTTCAGAATCCTTCACAGCTCAGTTGTCTCAAGGCCTGCAGAATTAAATAAGTTAAATGTGTGCCGTTGCATACAATAGTTATTTATTGAAACTGTTGTCAAATGCACTTTCTTTGTTTATTTTTAGGTTTTCAGCGCTCCTGCCCCATCTGTCAAATCTACCCAGCCACCATCCGGTCATCATGTCTAAGTTAAAGAGTTCTGAATCTGTCAGGGTTGTTGTGCGGTGCCGGCCAATGAATGGCAAAGAAAAGGCAGCTTCATATGATAAAGTTGTTGATGTGGATGTCAAATTAGGGCAGGTATCAGTGAAGAATCCAAGGGGAACGTCTAGTGAGCTGCCTAAAACTTTTACCTTTGATGCTGTCTATGACTGGAATTCCAAGCAGTTTGAACTTTATGATGAGACCTTCAGACCGCTGGTGGATTCTGTCCTGCAAGGGTTCAATGGGACTATCTTTGCCTATGGGCAGACTGGGACAGGGAAAACGTATACAATGGAAGGAGTGCGTGGTGATCTGGAAAAAAGAGGAGTAATCCCCAATTCATTTGATCACATCTTCACCCACATCTCTAGATCTCAGAACCAGCAGTATTTGGTTAGAGCGTCTTATCTGGAAATATACCAAGAAGAAATCCGAGATTTGCTATCAAAGGATCAGTCCAAGAGGCTGGAGCTGAAAGAGAGACCAGACACTGGTGTGTATGTGAAGGACTTGTCATCTTTTGTCACAAAAAGTGTCAAGGAGATTGAACACGTCATGAATGTGGGGAACCAAAACCGCTCAGTCGGTGCTACCAACATGAATGAGCATAGCTCCCGGTCCCATGCCATTTTTGTGATCACTATTGAGTGCAGCGAGGTGGGACTTGATGGCGAGAATCACATTCGTGTAGGAAAACTCAACCTAGTGGACCTTGCAGGCAGTGAACGCCAGGCCAAGACTGGAGCACAGGGGGAAAGATTGAAGGAAGCTACCAAGATTAACCTCTCCCTTTCAGCTTTGGGCAATGTTATATCTGCCCTAGTAGATGGCAAAAGCACTCACATTCCATACCGGGACTCAAAGCTAACTAGGCTACTTCAGGACTCACTAGGTGGGAATGCCAAGACTGTGATGGTGGCCAATATAGGCCCTGCCTCTTATAACGTAGAAGAAACTCTTACTACCCTGCGATATGCCAACCGTGCCAAAAACATCAAAAACAAACCAAGAGTTAATGAGGACCCTAAGGATGCACTCCTACGAGAATTCCAGGAAGAAATCGCTCGGCTCAAGGCACAATTGGAAAAACGATCTGTTGGCAAAAGAAAGAGAAGAGAAAGGAGAAGAGATGGTGGTGAAGGGGAAGAGGAAGAGGAGGATGGAGAAGAGGGTGATGAAGGGGATGACAAAGATGACTACTGGAGGGAGCAGCAGGAAAAGCTGGAAATTGAGAAGAAAGCTATTGTAGAGGATCACAGTTTGGTGGCAGAAGAAAAGATGAGACTGCTAAAGGAGAAAGAGAAGAAGATGGAGGATTTGAAACGAGAGAAGGAAGCAGCAGAAATGCTAGGTGCCAAAATCAAGGTAGAGTGCTTGTTGGACTCCTTAAAGAGACTGTTTTCTGGATTTAGGGGAGGATGGTAGGTTGTTGGATTGGGAAAATAACCTTGTTGGGAAAGTTTTGGAATAAGGATGTGCCTTGCTCAGAAATTTTAAAAATCAACTTTGGGAAGACAGCAGTGGGAATTCTTTTAAAACTGAGTTTAGAATTAGTGGTGCACATTGTAAGATGTTTTATATCATTTATAAATTGTGGCTATAGAACCTAATTCTAAGACCCTGGGAAGTCAGTACAGTAGATTGAATGTGATGTACATGCTTCTTATTGTGTTGCAACTTATAAGTAACAAACTTCAGTCTGTTACTGACTATTGTGGCACGTCTACACTGTACAGAAGATCGACATTCCAGAGGTCAGTCTTCTGGCGTTCAATTTAGTATGGACCCATATGTCGAATGCTGAGCGCAGCTTTGGCCAGCATCCGGTACTCCTCCTTTTGTGAGGAGTAAGGGAAGCCGATGGGAGCATTTGTTCCCATCAGTCTCCTGCTGTGTGGACTGTACGGAAACGCAATTTAAGATATGTCGACTCCAGCTAAGTAATTAACATATCGGGAGTTGCATATCTTATTTCAACCTTCTGCTGTATTGTAGACATGGCCATAGAAACTTATGTGTGTGAAAGCATCTAGCTCAACCTCTCAGTCCAAATGTGGGAAAGATTTCCACAATGCAGAGCACAAGACAATTTACTTAGTGCTTAAACCAGTGGTCCCCAACGTGGTGCCAATGGGCACCACGGTGCCCGCCAGAGCATTTATGTGCGTCCGCTGAATGATCTCGGCAGCCCCAAAAGGTTGGGGACCACTGGCTTAAACCTTACAGTTATGTAGGATTTCACAGAGAGCACCATTTCCATAACAATACATTTTAAATTTGAATGTTTAGTCAGTGATACCCCTTAGAACGAAGGAGAGTTCGGTGTTAATCATGTAAGAAGTTGCTCCTGCTTTTTAAAAAGGATTGGCTGCATGGCTGTTTCAGAGGTTAACCTCTCAAGCTGTTTTTTGTTTTAAACAGGCAATGGAAAGCAAGCTCCTTGTTGGAGGAAAGAACATTGTAGATCACACAAATGAACAGCAGAAAATCTTAGAGCAGAAACGTCAGGAAATTGCAGAACAGGTAAGAGGGGGAAACATTTATTATTTTGCGGCAGTTAGTTGCTTTTCTAGACCAAGGGTGTGGAACCTCAGGACCAGGGGCCGGATGTGGCCCTCGTCTTGCCTGGATCCAGTCCTCAAGGCTCAGGTCTCCCCCCCAGCATTGGGGAGCCCGCACTGGTGCTCCTGTCCCCCTGCTATTCGCCTGGGGCTGGAGTGCACAAATCTACTCAGCTGGGCTCCCCTAGGCTCTGGTGTGCGAGGGGAATGTGGGGAGTGTCTTTCTCGTCAGTCAGGGGCCACTGTGAGGGTTTTTTTCCCACTTCTCACTTGAGTGCAGCCCCGACTGATTTTTTTAGGGGTCAGCGGCCCCTGACCCAAAAAAGGTTTCCCACCCCCATTCTAGAAGTTTCAGAAAACATGCAGGTAAGATAAATTATAAATTAGTGTTCTTGAAGTACATGATTGATCCCTCACCCTAGTTTAATGATTACTGGCAAAAGAGAGGCAAAAAGGACTTCTGACCTTTTTGCTGCATTATAATGTATAGAGAAGACCAGTAATCTTTTTTCTTCTTTGTTTTTTACATTAGAGACTCTGGTTCTGTCTTGGTTGGAAATTTTTGTGGTGAAGAACTAATGAAATGAGGAAATCATAAGACCCTAGGGAGTGAAAGCTGCAGCTATTAAATGAGGAAAAATTTAGTCAGAATATTTACACCTTTTTCTATATTGTGTTTTTGTTGGTGCATATTTAACTGCAATGACTAATTACAGTTTTGGAGAAAGAAAGTCCTTGCTCAAGATTCAACACTCCCCCTCCTTTAACTGAGCTTATTTCCAATCAATATCCTATGAGGCCCCCAACAAACCCTTCATCAAAGTCACATAAGCAGAGAGTTGATGTTCCTGATATTTCTAAGAGGGGAAAAAATACCTTTAATTTGGAATCTAAATCCAGAGACCTGGGTCCCAGGCAAAAGAGACGCCTTGGATGTGGCGTTCATGTATGCGAGCAGTGAAGGTAATAATAAGACAGTGTTGATCTCATCCTGTCTGTGATATTCATTAGAAACGTCGGGAACGAGAAATCCAGCAACAAATGGAAAGTCGGGATGAGGAGACGCTGGAGCTGAAAGAGACCTATAGTTCCCTACAGCAAGAGGTGGACATCAAAACAAAAAAACTCAAAAAGGTAAAAAGTAAATAATGGTAGATCAGACAGATTCGAGACTGAATGGCTCTGCATGTGGAGGTGATAGCAAGTCATGGCTCTGGTTCTTTTCCTCTCTTCCAGCTGTTTTCCAAGCTGCAAGCTGTGAAGGCAGAGATCCATGACCTCCAAGAGGAGCACATCAAAGAACGGCAAGAACTGGAGCAGACCCAGAATGAGCTTACTAGGGAGCTAAAGCTAAAGTAGGTCCCATTGCTCAGCTGCTGCCCTTAACTCTTACTGAAGGTGTTTTGTTTTATTTTTCGAGGTGGGTTGCAAGCCATCTGCTTGTAGAATAAGATTTAAACATGAGGGAGAACTAGACATTCCTTCTCTTTTTCTAGGGTTGTTTTGGATCAGTGAGGGAGAGGTGACATGAAGACAAACAGAGATGTGAATTCTCCTATTTGCTTATGTCCCATCTTTGTTCTTGCCTGTTATCTACAGGCACCTGATTATTGAAAACTTTATTCCCCTGGAAGAAAAGAACAAGATCATGAACAGATCTTTCTTTGATGAAGAGGAAGACCAGTGGAAACTGCATCCCATAACCCGGATAGAGTGAGTTTACCTCTTTAACCTTACATTAAGACTAGAGTGTGGTCATGTGATGACTTCAAGTTGGCCAGCCCAAGAAACTCCAGATAGATAGGTTTATCCTCATGCAGCCAGAGTGCTTAACTTTTGGTTGCAGTATTAATCCAGAGTAAAGTTCTAGCTAGACAAATAATGAGCAGCCTAGGCTAGTGAGTGGGTGGCCCTCTTGACTATTGTAACCAAAATGGTCTCCCGCTATAGGGTTGTTTTGCTAATTGCACTAGAATTTGTGGGGTGTGCCGATTGAACTGTATCAGCACTTTGATTGAATACTGAGGGAGCGTGCGGCTCTCACAGTCAGTGTTGTGTGCAATCAGCAGGCACCTCCCTTCATGTGCCCTGGCTTTATGTGCTTGTCACGTTAATAATACTGGTAAGAAAAAAACGACATGGACAGAAACCAGCAGAATCTGTCAACCCTGCTCATGTGCAGAAATAAACAAAATGTCTTGTGAGCCACACATAGAACCCCGATGGGCTGCATGTGGCCCCCACGTTGCAGGTTGCCCACCACTGGGGCAGGCTGTAACCTGAGTAGAACAATTGTGAAGGCAAAGCTAGGAAAATTCTAACCTGTGAGGAGAGGAAGGAAGTTCTACTGATAATTTTTTATATTATATATAGCATCTTTCTTCCATACAGTGCTATGTTCACCATTAAAAAGTTAACAGATTCACATACATACTACTACAGTTATTTCCTATTTTAAATATAAGATGTCTCCGAGGCCAGTGTTTAGAAACAGTTGACAACTCTTGAGTACTTTATAGGAGGTTCCAAAGAGCAAATGTAGGATGAGAGGGCTAGGAATGTACTCACAATAAGCATAAAAGAACGGATTGGACAGTCCAACTGTCCTACTTCCATGTCTCTAACTGCACAATGATATGAAGGATGGTATCGGATACTACTTGCTGGGTTTTTACTGTCCATTTGGAATACTTTCCCAGGTGCCTGTAGCAATCTTATTTTTCCATATAGATACCTTGGATTGTCGCAGAGCATTGCAGATGTTTTGATTTATTCAAATAACGAGGAATCGTGTCGGTTTTTGGCATGTAATGGATTTGAGTACTTCTCTCCTTTTCAGTAACCAGCAGATGATGAAAAGGCCAGTGTCAGCAGTGGGATACAAGCGACCTTTGAGTCAGCATGCCAGGATGTCCATGATGATTCGTCCAGAGGCTCGGTACAGGGTAAGCCCACTTACGGATGCAGCTTGCCATATGCTTGCCTCTTGTATTCAAAGGAGGATGAAGTTCTGAGACGCATAGTTGTCCTACATAAACCCCTCCCTCTTGCCACCTAAAAAAATGTGTCTTAAAATAAACCCCGCTGCCTGGTGTTGCTCGAGCAGAGTTTATGCTCTTCGTGCTGCTGCTAAGTTACCTTCACCCAGAGTTGACAGCAAGTGAAACTGGCTTGGGCAGGGTGGTAGGAAAGTTCTAAGCCAGAGAGAATGAAGTGGCCCGAGAGGAATCTTTGCGACAAGTGTAAAGTGACCACAAGCACACAGGAAATAAACATTTCCTATAAATCTAGGAGTTCTGCTAACAGTCCTTATCAAAGCGTGGACTATGTCCATACAAAAGCGACGAGGAGTCCTGTGGCACCTTATAGACTAACTGAAGTGTAGGAGCATAAGCTTTCGTGGGCAAAGACCCACTTCGTCAGCTGCATCTGACGAAGTGGGTCTTTGCCCACGAAAGCTTATGCTCCTACACTTCAGTTAGTCTATAAGGTGCCACAGGACTCCTCGTCGCTTTTGTATGGACATAGTCCACGCTTTGATAAGGACTGTTAGCAGAACTCATACAGTAAGTGGACAGTATGAGTATGCGTTGACATTGATGTTTCCGGTTCTGCTTCCACTTTCTTAGGCAGAAAACATTGTGTTACTGGAGCTAGATATGCCTAGCCGAACAACCAGAGACTACGAGGGCCCAGCCATTGCTCCCAAAGTGCAGGCTGCTCTAGAAGCAGCTCTGCAGGATGAAGATGAGATACAGGTGGATGCCTCCACTTTTGAGAGCATGTCAAATAAAAAATCGAAATCCAGGTGAGTCAAGTTGTAGAAAGTAGATTACGTCCAGGGGCCCCTGCCAGCAGTGAACGTATGCACACACAGGGCCACTGTCTGTCTGCACGACTCGTCAGTTGGATGAAAATTAAATTCACCCTGAGGTAGGTGAAGAGAAGTGGGGAAAATAGGGCAGCGGCACAAGCTGAGGTTGACTGGATATAGTTTTCTATCAAACTCATTACACTTTTGGGAAATGAGTGTTAATATCTAACAGGCAATTTTCTTTGTTTTTTTTACTTCAGGCCTAAAACTGGAAGGAAATCAGGGGGCTCCTCTTCCTCAAGCACCTCTGGGTCTCAGCTCTACCCACAATCCCGGGGGCTGGTTCCTAAGTAAAACCAGCAATTCCTCTCCAGGGTGTGAATGGCATTTACCTTCTGAGAGCAAAGACAAGTCAAAACCTGCAGAGAAGCCTCTCAGCCAGACTCCATGCCCTTTCCTTTGGGGAATAGTAATGGTCTCCTTGCCATTTAACTGACTTGCGTCAAAATGTGCCAGTCCCCAGTGTGCTGAACCTTGCAGGAAAATCTAGGAATCAGCCCCTAGTGGAAACAGATTTTAGTTAGGAAATCAGAAATGCATGAGGTACGTTAAAGTGTAATAGAAGCAATGGGAAGCATGAGGATCATCTCAGAACATTGCCCTCTCTCCTTCTGTTCTAGCCCCCTTACTGCACTGGGCTCTCTTGCTGATGGGCAACAGGAAAGAGTTGAAAGTCATCTCAACAGAATCCACTCTCCAGAACCTCAGGATGAAAACTTAGTGAGATTAAGAAGGGGAAGGCATGGCCAGGCATGAGTAGATGCTTTGTTTTCCTCTTTCTGTTGAAAGAATGGCATCTTCATTTGGAGTTAGTCCGGTTGAATAACCCTGAGAAGGGCAGGATTGGTGATCTGTCTCTGTGCACTTCACAGCTAGCCCTATCTGCTTCCCTTTAGAAAAATAGGACAAGAGAGGGTCTTGGAGGTGTGTATTGCTCCTCTAGAATGAATGCAATAGAAACTGACATTCTCTGTTTACAGGCATCAGTAAGAGTCTGACCTAAACTGACCTGCTAAAGACTCGGTCCCTACCAGCAGGGACCACCTTGTCAAAGAGAAAGTCTGTATGTTAGTGGCAGCTCCATGTTAGTTTTCTTCCTCTCTTCTCCATCCCCTACCTGGCGTTTTAGGCCAGCATCCATACTGAACAGCTAAACCCCAGGTTGGGTCTGGCCATTTTCTCAGCTCTTCCATCATCTGCAGGACATGTAGATCTAGGTTGGTACTAGATCTTGGCCAGGAGGCAAACATGGCTACTTCTGCTATTCCCTATGACAAGGGTGGAATCTGGAGCACTAAGAGGCAAAGCCATACCAGACTGCACTTTTCTAATAAGCATGCCACCTTTCCCTTGTTGTTATGAGGAGGTTCAGTGCAGGAGTGCTGCCTTTTGTGTCTCATCCTGTTCTAAGTTAACAACATTCCCACTTCTCAGTCTTAAGCTTTTCTGAATACAGGGGGGCCATGTGTAATCACAGGTCTGTGAATGTAAGGAAATCCAATATAAATTCCAAGGATGGTACACTGGAATTGGAGGGGGAAGCACTACTTTAGATGGTCTCTCTTCAAAGTTTGCCCTATGACTAACGTAGGCAACAGGCCTGCATGGTCTAGCGGGAAGAGGGAAACTGCTGTACTGGATGAGCTCAGAAGACTGATTAAGGTGTTCCTGTCTTGCATCTCGCTGTTGTTCAGCTTGTAAGTTTTAGTTCCCTGTATATTGAGAGTTGGGCTATTTTTTTTTCTTGACTGTTGTCAACTGTTGTCCTGTGATTGCCTTTATCCATTACCTCTTCCTTGCAGATGACCTCTCCCTAGACTGACTGAAGGTGTCTGAGAACTTTCCTGTTCTTAGAAATACTCTAATGTAGGGACTCTACCTTGTGTTCTTGTCAAGTATCCACTGATTGACTCTGTCTAGTCTGAAAAAACTCCATTGTATCTAACTGTCATGAGCAGAAGGAACACGACACCTTTAGCATAAAGCTCTCCTCTGCATCTTGCTGGCATGGTGCTTGGGGAGCTAACTGCTCAGGTGGCCTTGGGTTAAGTTCTAAATCAGCAGCTTTGATTCAAGGAGTGTATTTCTGGGTGTGGACCAGATTAATATTTTTTTTTTTAGATGTTGATGGGGGGGGGGGGGGTATGGATGAGGGAGGAGCCATCTGCTCATTTTCTGCTAACCAGATAATGGAAGCCTGGCATAACTTTCCTTTTTATAAGCCTTTTCTGTACAAAAAGCCTTTTCATTGTCTCTTGTGGTATAAAACATGTCGTCGTCCCCCCCACCCTCTGGTATATAATCTTATTTATTTCCTAACTGAAAAAGGAGATTCCATGGTTCCAGTATTCAGAGAATTGAAATGAGGCAAAGTAACTGTTCAACCTGGGATAGCATATACATGCTATATCTCGGCCTCTTCATGCACTACTATTTCATTGGGTTTCTCTATGAAATGTATAAGATAATTCCACATGTGACAGATATAAGTACCTGGAAAACCACAGCCCAAACCCAGACTGCTCTGCTTTCACTGTTAATATGCTAGAATGGCTGATACCTCAGAAAGATGTTTATAAATGTGTGTAAGTTAGAGTGAGCGAAAAGGGAATAGAGTAGGCAAAGTTATAGTGTTTAAATTGGAACTGTGGATAAAGTATGTACAGTGAATTGAGATAAGCAAATCACAGGGCTACAGCAGCTTTCAGCATCTCACTGTGACTTACCTGCCCCTGGAGTAGATCCATAGGTTATATCTACACTGCAATTACAAATCTGTGGCTGGCCTGAGACTGCCAGCCTGGGCTTATGGGGTTTGGGCTAAGGGGCTGTTGAATTATGGGTAGCCCCTGCGAGATCCCAAAGCTCAAGCTGGAGTCCAAGCCAAACACTGAAAGTAAACCGCCCTTTAGCCTGAGCCCAAATCAGCTGGCACAGGCCAGCTCCAAGTCTCTAAAGGCCGGGCGGACATACGTTTTGTGACCGCGAGCTTGGGATGAAACGAATGTGTTTTGTCTTAAATTGTACAACATTAGTGAAGTTCTGGAGTGACATGTCTAAAAAGCGATCCTGCCGGGCTTGTGCCACTCTGGTGCATGTGGGTATGATCTGAACCATATGGGTTTCCTGCAGGCTAACTGCCAAAGAAGACAGGAAATCCATCAAGTTCCTGGAAGAGGCCTTTGGAGAGTATGCAGATCTGTCTCTTCAAAGGAATGTTTAAAACCCTCCTCCTCTTTGCTCTGATCTGTATAATTGGATGCAATTTTATTTTCCAGGTTACATGCAATAAAGGTAGCTCTTCTGTTCCAGAGCCAGATCACACCTGAAATGGAACACATTAGGAATTACAGCACTTAACATTCTTAATATAGGTCTGATCACCCTTAGTTGAAAGGTTTGCATGCTGCTTGAAGCTTTTGAACACATACCTCTGTGATGACCTTTTGAACTGTAATTATGCATTATACAGACTTTTGGTTTAATACAGAACTGTCTGTACAGCTGTACTAAGTCCTTCTTCACTGTGTCTAGATACATTGCCAAGTTTCAGAGAAGCATTGATTTCTAAAAATCTGATTATTTTATCTGTCCTGTCTTTCAATTTATAGTGTCTGACCATACAACCAGGCCTTAAAAGGGAAAGGGATTCTTGTGGCTCTCTTTTGACAGTGTTAAACACACAGACAAATTAGAAAAAAACATATGTGCATAGTGTAAAAGTTATAATTGGATGCTCATTTGAAACCAAACAAACTCCCTGTGAACTAGGCACTTACTACATTACCCTCCTCAGCTCCATGTTTCTTGTTTCTGGAATGAAGTGCCCAACGGTGCTTGGAGGCACAACTGCCTTTGTGAGATTTCACACTCCTTGATCTTATACTGATCTTGAGCTTTTCTTTGGTGACCTGTAGACAAAGAACATCCCAGTTCTGTCAATAAGTTTTACAGCTTATATTTATTTGTATTCATCTCTTTTGGCTAGGAATGTAAAAGTGATCCTAAAATAAGATGTGGAATAAAATCAATCAGATTTATCTAGAATGTGTCCTTTTTTTTACATTCTTCAATGAATGTATAAATTATGGCAATGTTCACGGAGCCTTGAGTGTGTGTAAAACATCAGCCCCTCTTTCCATTAGTGTCTGCAGAAGCTAGCTTGTTGCAGCTAAACAATGGAATGTTAATGTGGTGACAGACTGGAGCCCCAGAGAGAAACACCCTCTTGCTCTCAGAAAAGGTGTAGTTCAAGCTAAAGCCGCACAAAGTCCTTGGTCTCCTCCCTGCACCTGGAGGCTCACCTCTGTTCTGAAGAGACCACTTGTGGGGCTGAAAGGGTAATTTGGTTCCCTTGTCCTTTCTGCTGAGTGACCAAGAGGGATCGAATTAGTGGTAATTAGGGTGGTGATTTTTGTGCTGTAAACACCTGGAAAATGGAATGAGACCACTCAGCTCATTTAATATAGGTCACTATATGGCCTCTGAGTTTAATATTTTGGTTGGAAAAACAATCTTTTGCTCTATTTATTTAATTTGTGAAGTTTTATAAGCAGTAGCAAGGCTTTGTATTTAATGAAACATGGCGTTCTGTTCCTCAGCTATGTTGTAATGTGACATGGCGAGGGATCCATGCCCCCCCGCCTCAAAAAAAAAAAAAAAAAAAGCTCCAGTGGAAAAGGTGGGAAAAACTCTAACCCCTTCACTCTCCCCAAGCTTTACTTGGAACACACAATAAGGCCCAGATCCACAACGGTATTTAGGCTCCTAACTTATATTGATTTAAATGGACGTTAGAAGCCTACATCCTTTGAAAAACTGGGCCTAAATCCTGTAGTCAAGGAAATAAGGTCAAACGAGCTTGCAGTCCCTAATTTCCCTCACTAGAGGGAAGTAAAGAGAATGAGAATGGGCAAGGTTATATAGAAAAAGATAGCTGCAAATAAGCAATTTAACACAAGCCCTGGAGAGGCCTGACATTTCCAGGACTGCAATTCAGCTGATTGTAGAAGATAAAAGAAACAAGTGAGATGAGCAAAAGGGGTACTGGAAGCATTGAATACAATCCATCACTCTAAAATGCTCCAAGCAGCTGCAGGAATCTTCAAGCTGGTCTTGAGTTGATAGTAGCAGGAAGACTGTGTAGTACTGATCAAGTAGTTAGAGCCCCATGGTTTGACAATTTTTAATATTTATTGTACCTTTTAAATTTTGTTTTAATTGCAAGAACGTGAGTTTTGATTCTGTATTAAGAGTAACCTGGATCACAGAATATAATGCTCTTCATCTGTTGTATTCTAATTAGGATTAAAATATTTCTATGGTATCAGTCAAATATTCAGACCAGTTCTCTTCCCTGCTGTGCTGCCATCACATCTGCTTCTCAAATGGCATGAGGTGAAGAGAAGCGGCTCTGTTATACAATTACAGGATACGAATATATGACTAAATCAGTTCTCTGCAACAAAATGGTTTGCTTTCGATTTGTTCTTCTGATTCTTTTCCTTCTTCTAGCTCAGTGGTTTTCAAACTGTGGGTCAGGCACTGGGTTGCCTTGCTGTAGGGGGACCGAGTGACTAGTGGTGGGTGCTCAGGCAGGCTGCCTGCCTGTCCTGGTACTGCAGACCACGCTGCATCCCAGAAGCAGCCAGCAGCAGTTTTGGCTCCAGAGGGGCAGGCATGGGGCTCCGTGTGCTGTCCCCTCCCCGAGCACTGACCCCACCCTTCCACTGGTCAATTCCCAGCCAATGGGAGTGGAGGAGGGGTGTGTGTCTGTGCCTGTGGGCAAGAGCTTGTGTGCCTGTGCCTTGGAGCTAGACCTGCTGCTGGCTGCTTCTAGGGCACGGCATGGTCCGCAGTACCAGGAGAGGCAGGAAGCTGCCTTAGCACTTGGGATGTTAAAATGCATTTGTTTTGGTAAATGTGTACCTGTGGAAATGTTCAGCGTTTACACACTTACGCACCCGGGGGAGGCAGCTCCATGGGAGCTGGTATGCCTCCTTTCCTCCTCCCCCTCCTCCGCCCACTGCTGCCTCTGTATCAGGTGGGAGCCAGTGCTCATGGGGCGCCTGCTTAAAAGCCGATGCCCCACGAGCACCAGTTCCTGCTTGTGCAACCCCTCCACTGCTGCCTCTGTATCAGAGGTGGCAGTGGGGGAGGCAGCTGCATGTAACCGTGAAGATTAACCAATGAGCCCAGGATTAACCGTTTAGACGTTTACACTGTCACATCGCTACTTAGAACCTCCACTGCGCTGCTGACCAGGAGCTGCTGGAGGTAAACCTGCGCCCAACCCCTTGCCCCAGCCCTGAACCCAACCCGAAGCCCCCTCCTGTACCCCAGGCCCCTCATTTCTAGCCTCCCCCCAGAGCCTGCACTCTAGTCAAAAGATACAATTATGTTGGGTCACGAGCATCAACCGTTTTCTTCAATTGGCACATAAAGTTTGTAGACCACTGTGCTAGCTGTTGAGTTTTGGCACTGGAAGTTGTGATTTTCACCTATTAGAAGGGAAAAATCACTTTTTAAATGAGAACAGGAAAAACACCAAGATTTTTTTTGTGTGAAATGAAAAATTAATATACGTTGTAAGCACAAAAAAAAGTCCAAAATTAAAAGCTTCCAATTCTATAAGTAAAACACAAAAGCACAGTTGTAGTCTGAAGTCTATTGTTAATGTTTGGCATTCTTTTGTATCTAATCTTAGAGGCCAACATATATTTTCCCAATTTATTTGCTATTTTAGGACCTAGCCTATTGTGAAGTTTTGATCAAGCTTATGTGAATTAAATTCCCTTTG